GCCGGGAGACGGGACGGGCAGAGAAAACCCGGGGGGCGGGGCGGCCTCGCCGCGGTGACTCAGCGGCGCGGAGCACCGGGCTGCGACCGGTATTTCCTGTTCCCCTGCCGCCGCCGCGGGTGTCGGGGCTGTGGGCGTGGGCCGGGGCAGCCGGGCGAAGGCACCCCTGGACTGGAGGGGCGGCAGCCGCAGGTGGAGGCACGCCTAAAGAGGGGGCGCGCCGCCCGCCCCGTCCGGCCGCCACCGCCTCTCCCCTGCCCGGCTCATCCCTCCCCATCCCTCCCCTCTCCTGCCCACCTGGGGGCGAGGCCGGCACCTGCGGCGGGAGCCCGCCCCGGCGTGGCCGCGCCGCCCCCGCCCGCGCCCCGCAGGAAATCGCCCGGCTCGGCGGGAGCGGCCAGAGCGGACACGGACCCAGCCCCAGCCCCAGCCTCAGCCGCGGCCCCGCACTCGGATTCGACACCCCAGTCCCTGCCCGCTCCGGGGCGGCGGGGCAGGGCAAGGCGCAGTCCCAGCGCCGGGGCGCCTCTGGGATCTCTGCTCCCGCTGCCGGACGCCCTCTGAGCAGGCGAGTATTCCCCGCGGGATATCCCCGCCCAAGCCCGCGCTCCCCGCCGCTTCCCTCCCCCGGGCAGGTGCGGTGCCCCCCGGCACCCCCTGTCCCTCGCGGCCGGTGCCTCCGCTCCCTGCCCCGGGGGCCGCGCTGCGGCCACGAGCTGCCCGGCTTCTCCTTCTCCTTCTCCTTCCTTTGTGTGCCTCGGGTTTTGTCGGCTCTCGCCCGCGCTCCTCAGGCGCGCTTTGCCGCCTTTGTCCGCGGGGTCGGACCCGCCGCGTCCCCGCGGAGCCCCCCCGGCCGGTTCCGCGCCCGCCGCGCACCTGGGCGGCGCGAACAGCCGGGCTCGCCCGGGGATCGGCTTTTCTCTAACGGGATTAAGCGGCTCTCGGTGACTTTTTCCGTGATAAGTACTTTCCGGGAGAGCGCGATACTACGTGGAAAGTGGGAGAGATGACACCGGCGAGTCGGGGTGTTTGTTTACCCGGGTTATTCCCGAGGGGAGAGGGGGGAGCTGGGGGGGGCGGGTCCCCCGGCCAGCCCACGCCCCCGCCATCGGGGGCTTGGGCTGCCTTTGTTGCACAGAGAATTCCTGAAATCTTTGTGTTGGCACATCCCGAGTGGATTCCAGCCGTGCCTTGGGCTTTGGCTAACTGGGTCAGGGGAAGTTTCAAGTTAACAGGGAACCGTGAAACAAAAGGAACAGGCAGTTCCAGAAAACAAATGTTTTAATTGCCCTGTTAAAGTGCCTTGGCACTGGCCATGTTTGCAGTGCTGGAGCCCAAGTACATTAGATTTTCACCCTGGAATGCCAAGGTTGATCTACCAGTGGCATGCAGTTGCTTTAGTTGACAACTCTGCCCTTACTTACCCCGTACTTGAAACCTGTTTGCATTTTTTTTTCCAGCATGAGAAAGTACATGCTGTTTGAACATACTTGTGTAAGAGGCATATAACAAATCAGAAAACTTAAATGCCTGCAGTGTTGCTTTCTAGTTGTTATTCACTTGAAACTGACAGAATCACTGAATTATCTGCTCCCTAGCTTCAGCTCATAAAATTGCATCGGTTTCCACAGCTAGGATGATTCTCGAGGGCTCTTGGCCCCACAGCTGTGCTCCAGCAGAGGCTGCAAATGTCTGCTTTGTTTTAACCTTCGGAAGCAATTATCAAGGTCGCATTATTTCCAAGACAATAGATTACCTTTTCTTTTGTTGTGCAAAGTTTTGTTCTAAAGGTTGAGAACTGTGATTCACCTATAGTTCGGAAAATAAAAGAGAAACTAGTGTCTTTAATTTGTGAAGCATTTGTCGTCTAAGGCTTTAAGTATGGGCTCCATCAAATAGTGATGCTTGTCAGGATCCATGAAGTCCTGACGTGGCAAGAATCAGGTACTGAAAGGCATAGGAGGTTTGCTTGTGTGAATAAATACTAATTGAGAGATCATCAGGCTGCTTTAAGAGACTTTGAAATGTTTTTCATTTAGTAAGCATGTGTGTGCCACTTAGACATGGTCAGTAAGATTTGTACTTAGTATAACATTATTATGACGGTTGTCTTCAGCCTTCTGAGGAAGTTTTCTGCATATATTTGACTTTTAGGTGGATTTACTGTTATAATTGCTCCTGGACTGTTACATGCAAACATCTTAGATCCTAAACATTGGTTTCAAGTACGGCAGTGACTTCTCTCCCGTTTATAAAGAGATGACACTGGAGTGGAGAACCTGTTTCTAATTATGTTTTGCTATTGGCCTGTATCACTGGCAGTAACTGCTGAGGTGCTTAGTGCCACTGCACTGGATTTTTGTGAGACTAAAGGCAAGTGTTGGGAATTATGCAGCAGAATTGGGGTGATCCCAACACTTTGCATGAACTAAAATCTAAATAGATCTCTTCAGAATGAAGCATCAAAGTAATAAAGTGTATGATACTTTTTTGATTGCTTAATCTCCCCTTCTCCTGGTTCCGTGTCCTCTAGGGACAACCAGGAAGTCTTTCATAGTGATTAAAACAATGTTTAGGTAGTTCCATGGCTCACAAAATGGAATGTGCTGTACCTTTATAAAACCTATATGCTGAAAAGCGTTAAGAAGCTCCTGGACCATAGTAATTGTCAATTAAGGAACTATTCAGCTGAGGCCTACTATTCCAGGACTACTTCAAAGCTGCATT